AAAAAAAAAAAAAAGAATACAGGCATGGGGGAGAAATCCTGTTTACTGAACATGGAGGACCTGAAGGGAGTAGAAGACCTTAAAATATTGCTTGAAAAGTGACACAAACATGCTCTGATTTGATTTCCACCGGAGAGTGACGCATCACGAATGTTCAGCTCTAGACATCAAAGGACGACTCGGCTTATTCACACCTATGACACTCGACGAGTCACCCACCTCCCTCATCTTCTGTCTTTCATGTATTCTTTAAGTTTATTTTTTCCTTGAACTTTTCATACGCTGAGCAGAGAGAACCTGAATAGACGCCCAAACCAAACCCCGGCGTTTTCAGAACCGAAAGTGGGAATCCTCCACATTCATTTTCCCTTTTTACCCCTCACCGCGCATCCCAAAATTATTCGGGGGGGGGGAGAGGATAAAGGCGTGCGTGCGCAGAGATGAATGGTTTCATTTAGATTCAAACTGTATAAAGTGGGCTAATCAGAATAACTGACAAAAGCAGTGTGGCGGAGGGGCGATAACCTGCAGGCTGCTTTTCCTTATTGCGGGAGATGGGAGTGAAGTGCTGGGCTGGTTTAGAGGTCTAATTGCATGACTCAGTAAAGGGAGTGGAGGGGGGGGGGGGATTCTTGCGGGATGTAACACTTTTTGACTTTTACTTTGCATGATAAGTCGGAATTCTCTCGACTCTTAAATATGAAATATTCATGGAAAAACTTGTTTAGCTTCTCATAATTCATTTTGCCCCGCCGTATCTAGAGTTAGATAATGTTTTTGACCGTCAAAAACACGGCTCCTTATGTCTTCTTTTTCTATTTTCTTCTGGTACTTTAGATGTTTTATGGTGCCTCTACAGATTTTTTCCTTTAGGATGTTCTTGTTTAGGATGTTCTATGCACTCGTCTTGCCCTTTTTCTCGCTGTTTTGTTTGTTTGCAGGGTTAGTCTGCGTATCATTTAGTGATGCTTTTACAGGAAATTGGAATCTGATGTTTGCTTTGTGATGACAAACATGAAGCTTTTATCCCTTGCATGCCTTTCCTCTTGGAGTGGATCTTAAGAGTACAATGTTGCTATGTCAAGTTAAAAAACAGCCTGTTTTGTGTTTCTGCTGAGTTTCTTTGTTAGTAAGTGGGTGTTATTACAAGGGGAATTGTGTAAATATGTATAATTTAGAGAAACATTGCAAACAAAGTTAAAATGATAAAGGTTCTACTGGAAAAAAAGAGCCCAACACTGGCACTGCAGTAGATTTTCGGAGAAAAACATAAATCTAGAAAGCATCTTACTGATGATAAGCAAAGTCCAGCGGCTCAGTAGTCCATTTATACCAAATAAAAACATGGATGCCAACCCTGAAACCTTTTTGCTGTTGACTTTTCTGTCGCCTCAGACCAGTTTTTTAAACATTTAGATTAGCACTAGCTAAATTGTTAGCCTTCTTTTTTCTCCTTTGACAGAATTTTGTAGAAAAATCAACACCCTTAAGTCAGATGGATTAGCCTTGCCATGCTAGCATCGGCTTTATTTTCCAACTCCAGGGGTTGTATCTGAGCTCTGTAGGATGACTCATTTCATCCACGACTATTAGACTATGGTTCTCACTATTAGAGGTGCCCTCCATCTTATCACTGACCACTGCTGAGCCAAGTTGAGACTTTGATCATGGCTAGAGGTGTCATTAGCGGCCATTGGGACCACTCTCTCGGTTGCTTTTTGGTTGATAGGCTTATGACAGAGGCACATTCATTTTTTAAGCTTGCAACACTGGCTCATAATACAGTGGCAGTGGCCGTGCACTTAAATTGCTATAGTTAATTTCAAACTTTTGTTTTTTATAAAGATAGCAAATTGCATTTTAGCCTTAATAAACCAGGCAAAACATCTGTGCTAACAATCAGAAGTTGGATAGTATGGAAGAACCGCTTTTTTAATGAGTACTAGGAAGTAATTAAATCAAAAAAGATTAAATTAGTTCTATATTAGCTCTATATTAGTTTGACAAGAACAACATGACAACATGAAGATGTGAAAACATTTTGTATGCAGATATGAAAATAGTACAGTCCAACGTCAAGACCTCAACTCCTTTGGATAAATAATCATAGTAAAAAAGCTTAAATAAATATTTATCTTCTATGGTGCCAGACTTCACTAAACCAACCAACCATCAACTATAAGCTATCTCTATTAAATTTTGATTTGTTGGAGATGAGATAATATCTTTACATCCATGGTTGTGCAGGATTTAAGGCCAAAACCAATAGCCAGCTCCACTGTGGATAGTACAGTGACTATTTTGTGTCTTATTTCTGACAGTGAACCATTCAGCTTTGTCTAAAGAATGTCTATGCTGTATAAATGCTTTCATATTTGTGTTTTTTTCTCCTATTACAAAGATTTAAGAGAAAAAAGTCAGATTATTTTCACTCCGTGTATGTAAAAAAATGAAGCAAAAAGCTATTTTTCTTTTCTTTTCTTTTTAAAACAATCAGATGTAGTAAGTAAATGTGCATGAAAATTTTGCCCATGCGACTCCTGATGAGCAAAGTATTATTAAAAAGTTAAAAGTAAAGTAAACTCTGATGAGAAGAAATAAGAGATAAATAAGTTATTGGCTGTAAAGGTCTCCGCTGTTGAAAATTTGCATTTATTATTGATGGAGAGCTAATTAAGAGAGTGGGGATTACGACTAATGAAGGACAATGGAGGGTGGACTTTTCATTTCCAATTATACCCGCAAAGTCACCTCCCGTTATACCGGGGCGCCTTGATAAAATAAATACTAATGCGTTTGAGGACTGACAAATCCATTTTTCATTTTCCAGCGGTTTTGAATGAAGATGTGCGGGTTTTGATCTCATTCTCTAAAGTTAACCTTTGCTGGAGCCGGTTAGCTGTACGGCACACGTTACCATGACGATCCGCCTCTATTCAGAGCACCAGCTTTTGCCATGGAGAACAACACGAGTAACTACACAAGACAGCCGGGTAATCCGTTAATATCGCTTCATAGAACAGACTCCATTGCCAGTCGGGTTTCGAGCCCAAAACATAAACAAGTAAATAAGTGTCAGGAATCGTCTGTACTGTAACAAAATGGACCTGTTTCTCTTGCAAAGGGTCCAAGATGTGTTATCGCACTATTACATGTCAATATGGGTAGTTTCACGTCTTGTTAAATTCCACAAAGGTTTTTGAAAAGGAAGAACCCCAGGCAGACAGAAGCCGAGATTATAGGAAAATTGTAGCCGATGTATGAACATAAAAGATATTCACAAAATGTCTTCCCACGCACTTTCAAGCTGCTGTCCAAATTTTGGACAGCTGTAACTGATCCCGTCATTTCCCGACGCTAAATGGCCCCTGAGTGGTTTCGCTTGTGCTCATGCTCGTTGTTAGACTCATTTGTTCTGTTTTTGTGTGCAGAAAATGCTTCCTGTGGACAGTTATGGGAGTTCTGTCACAATACAGGGCTTCTGTGTTGGTGAAAGCCAAAACAAAAAGAAAACAGCACCGACAGTAGTTTGTAATACGTATTTATGTCTATTTTCCATTGAATAATTGAGTAATAATGGCTATTTGACTCATTTGTGGTTGATGTACAACAACCTGCCCCCAGGGAACAGAAAAGACATCCAGGATCCTTAATCTAAACATACAGAAAGACCATTTTCCCATTAGCTTGTTTTGCTGTTTCGCTTTTGACCACATCGCTACCATCAGTTTTCATTTATGTAATACTTAGGATTTTATCTTTGCTTGCCTTTTCCTTCGGGGTGGATTTCATGTTCCTTTACGAGTTGAAGTGAACTTGTACCATTCGGTTTTAACATATCCAAAGGACATCGGTGGAGAGGGTTTTGATTGTTACCGTTAAAAGCTGAATCACTGTTTTTTTTTTTTTTTTTAAGTCTACTTTGCATTATGTTTAAAGCACCCAGACTGCTCTGGGTGGGAAAAAATGGTTCTGTTCTTATTTATTTGGACTTTTTAAATCATTAGTTGTTCTGTGTCAGGAAAATAATCACTATGACCTAATCTCTAACAAGTTCAGAAATAAGGTAAAAACAAAACAGCCCCCGATTAACAGGATCATGAATTTAACTGTGCCATCACTGATTTGATAATAAACGACAACTTACTCCACTTAATTCCAGCGTGACATTATGATATCACACTTATCTTTCTCGTAACCCTTCTGGCATCTTAAGGCTTCTATTTAAAATAAAAATAATCTGTCTTTTGCAAGTCATGCAGGTTTTCCTGTGTGTTTGGGACGTGCGTGACCCAGTTTGAGACGAGCTTTAGCTTTCTGACAGATGGCCTCCCATTCCACGGGAATATTTTTGGTAAATAGGGGAGTTCACGGTGGACTCGTATACTACGAGGGGTCTGGGTCATGTGACTGAATAATCACTCCTAATGCTGTCATTGTGCCTGACAGTTGGTATGAAGGGTTTGTTAGTATTGCATTGTTTCAAAACCCTTAAAATCCAACTTTTTTTTTGCATGACTGACCCGTATTTGTGTGTATAATTGCGAGAATGAGATAAAGTTTCTTCGGTGTGTTCACTCTACATCGTTCAAGCCCTCATTATTTGTATTTATCATCTCTTGTTTTTTTCCCCCTCAGAGCCAAGAAGAAGACCAAGCCCTTGAACCTTAAGATCCACAGCAGCGTGGGCAGCTGTGAGAATCTGCCCACGCAGCGCTCGCCCCTCCACACAGAGCGCTCCCTGAGATCCTTCTTCTTCCCCTCCTTCATCCCCTCCACGCCTCCCGTCCACGCAGAAACACCCTCTGCAAGTAAGCCGACTCACCTTTTTTTTAATCAGGTCGCACGCCAGCTCTTGAGAAATTAGATTTCTTCAAAAATGCCTTTATTGTAGCTCATTCATATTCTAATCCCGTCTCAAAATCCGACTATTTGGTCCACCGGCAATGTTTCATTTTTTCTAGGATGTGGTTTTGCTCCCGGCCAGGTCAAGTTGAGGTCTGAAACTGCGCTTTTGTGGATAGAAAATCGGCATTTGAATGATTTATAGTGATTTTGTTTTAAGAATGTTTATAAAAAAAAAGATTTAACACTTTTTTGTAGTCAGGTTTTTGGTCTCTGTCGACTAAATGTGCTCGTGACGTTTGGCCAAATCTCTCAGGAATCGTCCTCGGCACTTCAATTTGTTTTTGTTTTTTTGGGGGAAAAGCTTAGGCGCCGCTCCATTTGAAAATGCAACGCGCAAAGAAAACTCCGGAAGCCATTAGATTGAGGAGAACATGGAGAAAGGCAGAGACACCGATAGTAACAGAGGTCTTGTCACTGAAGGGAGTGATGCATGGTCTTCACTTAGTGTCGGGAATAGTGGCAGACATAATTAAACGCTATGAGGAGCACCACCGCGCATATCTGTTTTTCAAGGCATGGCGTGGAATAATCTCTCATTGAATGCGCGACACGGAGACAGTAATAAAAGATGCACTTGAAGACCGATTTCCTCGAACCTCTATTATCTGTCCAACTCTGTGAGGTCTCCTTTAGCATTTTCCCTGTGTAGGAAAACACAAAATAAATGGAGATTGTCGCCTGATTTTATGGGACTTGATCCTCGAGCATCCTAGAGTTCAAACAAAGTCTAATCTTCAAAAGAACAGGTGTAAAACCTATGTTGAAAAAGACTGAGATGCTTCTTTTTCTTCATCATTAACTTGGATCTTGCAAAAAAGCCACACCGATTTATTTAGTATCCTTATCCAGTGGCTTTATTTTTCTTTTTAACTTTATTTTTCTTTTTAACCCAGAGGCAAATTTTGGATTGTAGCTTGTATTTGAACAAATAGTTTTGAAATGAATGATCACAAAGCAGTTATTATTTTGTGCTTTTTTTGCCGTCAGAACTTTTCTGCACTGGTCTGTTAATTTGAAGTGATGCTGTGTGGAAAAGCTAATTGCATCGTGTTTGAAAGTTAAGGTTTGGGAGCACTTTCCCCTCAAAGCAAGAGGGTTTCCGGTTTGAATCCTGGCAAAGGGGGGGAGTTTACCTATTTTGCATAGTTCTATCTGGATACTCTGGCTTCTTCCAAGAGTTAAAAGACATGAATGTTAGGTGAGCTGGAGACTTTAAATTGCTAGCAGGATTGGGTGTGACTGTGCCGGCCTCAGATAGACCTCAGACACCCACCACCCAAACTGTAATAAGTGGATATGAAAAATACATGGATTGCATTAAAACGGATCCTCATAAGAGCCCCTTCTCAGAAACCTGTAGGTTTTACATGCCCAGTGGGTAGACACACGATTCTTTAAAGTGAAAGCACCCTTTTTTGTTTATTGAAGCGCTTTGTTTAATTTTACTCAAAGTTGATGTGACTCACCAAACTTAAAAATTGAGATGGAAATGTTTAGAAATCAATCGGAATGCACATCAGAGTTTTTTTTAGAAAGAGTTCCAGGAAGCAACAAACGGTGACGTTCAAAATATACATAAAAACTTCCCAGTCTGACGCGTGCTTTATCTCGTGATTATCTCCAATCCGTTTTTAATCCCGTCACAACTCCCCGTGCACGTGCAGTCTTTGTTTTCAGTCTTTCTTTGCTTTTGTTCCTGTTTCGGTTAATAAGTCTTAATGGTTTCGGCCAGACCAATATATCCTTCTCGGAAAAAAGACAATGAACGTGATTCATGTGCGCGAATGTACGGTAATTGTTACATAATAAAACAGGCTTAAAAACCGGCTTCCTCATGGTCAGTCGGCTCTGATTCATCTGATTAACACGAAAACTAAACTTTTTTGTCAAGCATGGCCTGTTTCATGGTGACTACGACGGCACATTGAGTCGATCAAAATCTCATAAACAAGATTATATGCCTCCTAAGAAGGAACATGTCATTAAAAAGGGGATTTGTTTAAAGAAGATAATGGTCAAATCTTATTCTATAGGCCACTTACATTTTTACCTATTCTTTACATTCATTTCAACCAAAAATCTTACAGCTGATGGAGGGATTGATATCCCATTTGAATAAAAAATATTCTAAAAAAAATGTTTGTTATGATCATGCTTGGCTGTGGTGTTTGTTTTGGCTTCCTGAGTCTTAGGCAGGCCTGAGCAAGTTCCCCCCTGCCCCAAAAAGTCTGGGTTATAGACCGGTTCACCACCTTGTTCCTCTTCTGTCCTCTTTGGGGCCTGTTTCCTAACCCCAGTCTTCACCAGATCGTCTCACAATTGTCCAGACTCACCTTTGTCACCTTTCCCCCCCTTTGCTGAATTCTTTGTTTCTGGATTACAAGTTAAACACTCTACGTGGATTTCTGTACGACCAAATATTATTATTACTTCTCTTCCGCTTCCACCTGCCTGCTTTTCCCGGCACCGATTAAGAGCCACATCCCCGAAACCTGTTCTCCGGTTAGACCTGTACTCCTTAGACCTGTTAGATCTCACAACCACGACCTCTTCCATTGCTCACCGTCACGGCTCATTACCAACCGTTCTCCTCTCCTCTCAGAGCCCCCAGAGCCCTTATCGGCTTTTAAAGGTCCATAACTTTATATTTTATGAATGTTCTTCTTAGTTAATAATGTCTTCCCTGTTTCATGCCAATGTGAGGACATGCTGTGGAATGACGACACACCTGTAGGCAAAAAGCTAAAAAACAAACAAACCGAAAAAACAAACACAAAAAGGATCCTGGTTGAGTTGATGGTTCCAATCCTGGTATTGTTTTACTTCATTCCAGCACGACAATAGGCCTGGCGACCATGTTGCATAATTTTGACCGGCTATTTAAGTTGAGACAAAACAGGGTTAGTCATCTACCTTTCTTGGCAAGTATCAGGAAACTCTATGTCATTCTGATAATGTATGAACAGTGGTGTCATTTCTGGGAAAAAAAAAAACTTAAACAAACATAGCCGACCTGTCTTAACCCTTTAAAGCCTGATCCAAAAATAAAATAAAACAGAAAATTAAAAAATTAAATGATTTATTACTATGCGATGAGTCAAGATTATTTTTTGTGTAGTCTTCTGCCCCCTGTTATCAGGTGTATCTGATTGTGTACAATAGGATTTTGAGCAAAATTTTTACCATTAAATTATGCAAAAGGTGTCAGACGCAAAACATTTCAGAAACCGTATGTATCAGATATGATACATTTGGCATTACAGGGTTAAGATAGTGAAATGTAAGATCATCATATACAGCAAACAGAGGGCCAAACTGGACGTCTGTACCACAATATTGATTTTCAAAACATGGTTGCAATTGTGTCTATGTGCCATCACCAAGTATGATAGATAATTGATTATTGTTATTGGATTTCTGAGCATTAGTGGTTGTTTGTCTCTGTTTTGGCGCTGTGAATGAATGGCAACCTGTCCGTCAATGACAGCTGGGGTAGAAAACGGTTGAATGCTATGCTACTGGTGAGGATGGCCCCTGGTCGCCTTCCTTTTGGAGGTTTTCCGGGGACGTCCTACTGGGAGGAGTCCCTGGAGCAGAACCAGAGCTCAGTGGAGGGATTATACGTCCCCTTTTGCCCGGAAAAGCCTCAGGATCTCCCAGTAGGAGCTGGAGAATGTCTGGGTTTCCCTACTATAAGATAAGATAAGATAAGATAAGATAAGATAAGATAAGATAAGAT